TATTTCAGGGAAAAGACAGATTATAAAAAAGACCAGTGCCACAGCAAAACAAACCCAAGCACTTCAGTTGCACATTTATACGCAAGACACATGATTCAAAAGCTAAGTGAGATGGATGTGAGTGCACATCAATGCTCCACCACGGAACACGGACATATCTTGCACTGCAAGTATTTGATCATCTTAAAACTGCCTTTCTTGCTTAATCAGAGACCTTATTGTAACCTCTGCGTCAGCTGAGCTTTAAAGGAGGATGTCAGGACAGAGTACCAAAGTTCCTGCTCATTTCTCTACATTCAGCCTCATGGTGGTTACCACATACACCACACAAGCCAAGAGCTAGACCTGGGATCACCTAAACCAGGTAGGGATCTCTGTAGAAGGGGACTACTACTGGCAAGCAACACTGATCTTTACATAGAGACTACAAGATGTGGGCAATTAATTGGCTTATAAGACCAGCAACGCTTGCCGGTTATCAGCTCCTCTTTCCACTAACTTGGTGTTCACAGTCCAGGGAGGCCTTTCCTCTTGGAGCGCTGGAATGGAGACTCTCCACAAGGTATTTATTAGGCTGGCACACGAACAACAGATAAAACACTCCGACATCTTCTTCTGTTTCATAGTAAAGTGCCAGCAACACAGCTGGGTTTCTGCATATGAGAAATTCAAGCTATAAAAATCACTTTTCTTTGCTCTACAGATGCAGAGTCCCTCGGCGAGCCTGACCGGGTCTGCCTATGGAAGCACACCTGTGTTTACAAAGGTAAAGAGCACAGGTTGTCTGAACGACATAGCTTGTTCTGCAACTACTAGCATTAGATTTCGAGTTTTCTTGCTCCATCAGAAGATATTTTGAGGCTGGAACATTGGTTCATTTACAATTCAAAAAAGCCAGCATGCTTCATTAGTGATGCTATCAAATTAACATCTTAATCGGTAAACGATCCAGACAGACAGAACCACTTACATGAATTCATCTCATTCCTTTCCTACAAAGGAGGCTGAAGCGGAAACCGCTCATAGTAACCTCCCTTATTATGTTGTATCCACCAGAATAGATGTTTTTCCTGCATTTGTATCTTTATTTAAATGCATAAGCAAGCTAAAGCCTTTTAATGAGCACTGGTCTACAGGTGAAAAAACCTCCACTCACAACCCACTGCAAATGCATTTAGAATTAAATCAACTATTGTAAGTAAAATAAAAATATGGGCATGAGATCACCTTCTTCACCGAAGGGTGTATCATTCCGTAATAATCGCTTCAATGGGGAAAAACTTATGTCAGCCATTTAACACCAATTTTTCCTCCTCCAGGGTCTACAAAACATAAAAGCTACGAAAGGTCAATTAGTGGTATTTGAATGTCGCATTCGCGCTACACCCACCTTACAGGTTCACTGGTACAGAGAATATGATCAGATAACAGATTCTGCCGATTTCCGAATACTACGAAAAAGTAGGTATTACTATGTCTGTTAGATGTACAGTAATTTTATTGGGACGATGACAAGACAGGAGCAAAACTGCTATAAAAATTAGGAGATCGTACATGTTCATAGAGGCAGAGTTAAGTTTACAAGTATGAAATGACCTGAAGTCACAGACTGCTGTGCAGAGCCTGCGCTTCCTCTGGCAACGCGTGAGCAGGTCAGGCACAACGGGAGGAGATTGCCGTGCTGTTCGTTATTCATGAAGTACTGCTGAGCCTGGAGGCATCGTCACCGTATATTACAACTACTAATGAACTCGGGGAAAAACAATTTGCAATATAAGCACATTTTAAACAATTTATCATACTCCCAGGCATGAGGTCATAGCTCCAGTGGGCCAAATTCACAGCAACTAACTCCAAAGTCAGTGGAGCTCTTTCTGTATCACCTCAGTGAAGAGGTGTTTGTACCATCAGGTTCCAGCCAAACCTGAGCTTCCCCTACCCGCATGGTATTTCTCTTGATGGACAGGAAGGGAGATGGTCCCTTTTGTAACTGGGGTGACAGCTGAGGTGGGAAAGGAGGTGAGGGCTGAAGGTCTTTCTTCCATTCTGGCATTATAACCATTTAATTTTTTTCTTTCCTATTTTGAGCAGAGGCTTGTTCGTCAGCTGTTCCCGGTAAGTACACTGCGCATTTTTTGTTAGACATCTTACCGGTTAATTACCCCAAGCTTAGTTTTTCCCACCTCATCCAAGATAAAACAATAATGTTCAAAGGGGAGCCAGAAGATAGCATTCAGTGTCAGGCTAAGAGCTTTCAAGTTCTTGGTTTTGACACAAGCGCCTGAAAAGCCCCAATTTATTTCACAACACAATGAAAAAGGTATCATCCCTTTTACATTCAGTCAAGGAAGAGCACCCTGTGTGTTAAGGGAAAGCATATCAACCATTCTGACCTGTGATCTTTTCTGGGTTTTAAACTTGTGCAAGAGAAGACAGAATTTAGCAAAAAAATTGTGCCTTGTTTCTTTAAAGCCACAGGAAGAAAGATTCTTCCTTCACCTTTGCTCCTTCCGAACCCCTTGACTTCCTATGCCCTTTACATCACTTTTTTGCACTTTATTGCTGCCAAGCCCCATCACTAAGTAGCAGTCCTTCTGCAAGGACCCAAATGTTAACTTGTAGGAATTGGTTTTATGGTACAACAGCATGCCCGAATTTGTCATTTCAGAGGAAGTCTGCACCCTGGTTATTACAGAAGCTTTTCCAGAAGACTCTGGAATATTTAAATGTGTTGCTGAAAATGAATTTGGAACTGCAGCATCCAGTGCACGTCTCTCTGTTTCCCCAGGTAAGCACATGGATCTCTGAGCTGAGCAACTAAGCACAAGAGAATTTGCTGCTGCTCAGCATCAGGCAGCATCACAGATATTTGCCAAGAGAAGCCAGACCCAAACACTTTTGCAGGCTCAAGAGAAGAGAAATGGCCCAAAAATGCAGTCTGCTTGGGTACTTCTCAAAGCTGGATGCAAGTTGTTCCGCATTTCTGCTTTTGGCCCCTCTTCCTCCTGGGTCAAGGACGACAAGGTGAAGACGATGTTTTCTCTCACAGAGGAGTCTCACCCCTGAGCTTCACCCCTTCAGGGATCCCAGCTTAGCCCAACACATTGGCTGAATCTATACCTTGTTTATTGTAACACATGACTTGCCTGGCTTGTGCTGAAAGCCATCTCCAGACAGAACAGCACCTTGCATGTAACCCAAAGCTCACCAGCCCTGGTGAGAAGTCAGGTTTGGCTAATGCAGCTGTGCGGGTTTTGGTCTATGCAGACCCCAGGCAGGTTGAACTCTCACTCACCTGCACAGTTTCCCTTCCTGTAACCGCAGCGTGCCGTACTGGTGACCCACCACTGCTTTCTGCCTGACTTGTGGGCAATTCTACTTCCAGGAGCAAAAGAGCTGGAAAGCTTTGCGGGTGCTGCCCACAGGCCAGCAGTGCAAGTCACCATGAAGAAACCCACCTTCCCCAGGAACAGCCAAACAGGAGCCAAGGACCGAGATGCGGCTGGCCTGCCGTCCTACAGCACAGAGACCCCAGGGCTGGGCAGTCGAGCAGAAGCCACAAACTTCGGCCAGATGAACTCCAGGAGCGAAGCTGAAGATTTTCATGGAGCTTATAAGAATTCGCCTCAGGCTTCACCTCTGCGGTAAGACAAAGAGAAAAATCACATCCCTGGGTTAGTTTTACACGATACTTAGAGGATGAACTTTCTAGAGACCCTGGCAATACAACTGCAAAGCTCCCGTGCCCCATACCCTAACAGGGAAATGTGCACATGCAGTAACCTGAGCTGTTTGCCTAAATGACAATGGGAACGTGTAAGTAACACCAGGCTCGATTTGACAAAGTATTTAACGATCTAAAGGCTCAGGAAAGTGCCTAATGGCATTTTCAGAAGTGCCTATCTATAAGTAACTTTAAAAGCATCACCCCAAATAATTAGCCTCTAGAAGACCTCTGGCTCCACAGCAGAGCATGGGGCAAAGATCATAGTACCTGGGAAATTTCAAGGTACAATTCTGTTGCCACCACCTTCCTCTGCAACCCTGGCCAAGTGGCATCACCTCATGTTTCTGCTTCCCATTCTGTAAGACATCAATAGAACTCGAGATCCTGTAAGCATGGTGCCGATTGCACCTGCAAAGCACTCTGTGGAGGAAAAGGAGTGAAGCAGTGACCCACTGGATAGAATGAAAACTGTCCCACGCCACGGTAGGGACACTCCTCGCCCAGGAGGTGGAGATTTTCCCCCAAGAATAAAGCGTTCCCTCCTAAAACAAGCCTTGATCCAATTTCTGCCCCAAATGCAGCTCTCAAGTAGCTTTGTACTTATTGCATTATTAGCTATTCTGTTTAATTGTTCCAGAGAAACAAAACAAGTTAGAACGCACATCTTAGCAATTCCATCCCAGATTTTTGTAGTGTTTCTCGGGTGTTTATAGGCATAACGAAGACCTCAAATGGTGACAGTTAAAAGGTCCAAGCCCAGCACTACAGAGAAGTTCCCTCAGTCCGGTTTGTGAAGGGGAGAGCTATGAGGCAGACGTGTGCCTCCTCTCTCAGCTGAATGCCAGCGCTGCACTGCAGCGATACTGTTACATCGTGTGTAAATGGCTGTCCGTGACAGAAAGCGTTCTCTATGTTATCGATTATTTTTTGATGTACTCAGACACTTTAACTAAACTGGTTATTTTAACAATTCTGAACATCCTCCTCCAAATCCACTACAGGAGAGATCATATTTCAGTATAGATTTCTCCATGCGCAGGAATTTTTTTACTAAATCACTGGGTTAAAATGGGTTTGCTTCAATAACCTGCAGATTGCTAAGAGGAGGCTCTCAGCTTAGCTCCAAGCCCCTCCATAAAACCCAGGCTTGCTCCAGGGAGATCAGCTGGGGCCCTAAGCAGACCCCACTGCAGAATCAAAACCCTGGCTGAAGCTAACTTGCGTGCACTTTAGGAGACTGCAGCACCGCGAAGCTGCGGAGGGCTTGCCTGCAGCCTGCGATGAAGCCGTGCGTGTGCTGTCATTGTCTCCAAACATCCCAAGCCAAGGGTGTGAATGCAGCACCGTATTCGAGTAAACTCATGCTTTACTACCCCAGGTCCAAACGCCTCGAGATAAGGCTGAGTTTGCTTGGGAGTATCTAACACAGACCAACATTGCATTGCTCGTAATCTTTACCTGATGATTGTTTTAAACAAGGGCAGACTGTTAATTGTCTTCTGAGCAAAAATGAAAGCCTTTTATAAAATCTCTGGCATAATTACCTCTTGGAAGGAATGGGGGCAGTTGGAGACATTTGCTAGCTGTCCTTTTAGAACAGGAGTAGTTTCCCAACCTCTCTCCAGATTTCTCAAAGGCAGCAGGCAGCCTGTACTCTGGCATTTCTAACAAGCAACCCGTGGGGAAGCTCTTTTAGATGATACTTGCTGCTTAGGGTGACTACTTGTAAAGTGAGCTGTGGTTGCATTTTTGTTTTTAAAGTTCTGGTTAGTTTGAAATGCAGCACCTAATGTCCTGCATGAAGGGATATAACATACCACCAAAATCAGCTATGTAATAGCTTTTAAAAAATTGGGTTATATAAAACATTAACTAGTATCTAGAGCTGCAGAGTGCTTTTGATTAACAGCAATGCTGAACGGGATTTTGGAAGGCATTTACACGTCTCAAGAGAAAAAACTATTAAAATTTCTACATATACCCATCTATGAGCATCTAAGTATCTTTAAAGCCCACAGTCTTATTGCCACGTGCTTTGAAACATCATTAGGAATGGGACTCAACATTGTAAATGTTGCTGTTACCTCAAACTAAGCAATCATCTCTGATGACTAGCTGTACAATAACTGACTTGTTAGACAGATTTAGCCATATAACTCTCTCACGTAGCGTATGTGGCTGCAACTGTATTACCAAAGACAAAAAGAAATACCGACAAAGACAGTGATGACAGAACAAAGCTATTACTGGGGATAACTATAAAATGAATGAAGTCCTTGTACTCATACTTCTCCAAATTATTGCTTGGCAACAGCCACTCTACAAAAGCTAGAAAATGCAATTCTAGAAGACTGCCACTACCAGCTACTCCTTTCTGAGCCCTTTATATCTGCAGCTTACAGTGTCCTTCTCAACAGCCTTAAAAAAGCAGAAAAAAATCTATACTGATTATTAACTTTATTAAAGGAACTTAATCCAAGCCAAAGAGGAGGCTTCAGGCACTAAGTATACCGCCAGGTCTTTTAGGTAGCTTTTAAGATTCCTTAATAAATAAGCAAAAGATTCTTAACTTTTTTCTAGCCATTCGTTGCTATATGACACAAGCGACTAAGAGAACCCGATCAGACGCAGCGTGTCACCATTCACAGAAAGTAAACTGAAGCAGTACAGAAAAGCTGGTCTCTAACACCCCGCAGCGCTGGTCAGAGTGCTATTAAGTTACCCTACCACAGGATATGAGATTTCCCCCCCCCCCCCCACCTTCTGGATCTCACGTTTTTCCGTTCCTTCTCTTTCACCCAAGTCGTCCTAGTTGTGTCCAGCCTTTCAAGTGCATAAAGCCGTCCTTAAATTGATGCCTCGCGGCCAGCTTCGGTTCTGAAACAAGCGTGCTGCACCCTCGCTGAAGTCGATGGGAAGCAGGGAGCCTGCCTGGGCGCAGAGCCTGGCCCTTAACACGCTCACAGCTTCCTACAGGGCATCAGTTACCTCTTTTAAGTACTCAACTCTCTCTGTGGAAACCACAGGTTGTTTTTTTTTTAAAAAAACTTAAAAAGCAAATAACCTCTCCAACAACCAGGGACACACTTCCTCCCTTAATCGCTTTCATGGCGAGAAATTTAAATAAATTAGCTCTCAATTAACACCTGCTATGTAGATTTAGTTCACAAACGGTGGGCTGATGTTTAAATACAAACACTAAATGTGGATTAACTCTCGAAGATCGCTGTGCTGAGAGACTCACCGGTGCAGTGAAGGGAGAGAAGAGGCAACTGAGAGACCAGGCGCAGCCCGAGCTGCGGTACTTACCGGGCTGGGGGTTTTTTTCAACAATAGCGTGTACGTTAGGCAAGAGTTGCCAAGGTATCATTAAGATACTTAAGACACTATAATGTTAATTTAAGGTGTAATTAAGCATTGAAGCCTTTGATTAAAGGGATACAAATCACCTAATCTGCCAGCAGGATCTGTCGGTGTGCTGGTGAAAACACCACAGTTGCATCTTTTAATCCAAGTAAATACCTGTAACATCAAATCAGATTTATACCACCGAGCACATTTTATTTGTGTTATTCGGTTTATGACTCTTCAGCCACGTCCCCGAGCAACGCCGCTGCTCTCGATGAAGCTCCGTACTAGCGCGAAGGTGCGGGTAGCGCCGGGGGACGAGGGCACGGCGGCCGCGGGCCGGGGCGGAGGGCTCGGCCGGCTGCGCTGCTGGGTGGGTACTTGGACAACGTTGACGTCTGGCTTTCAAGTATCCGCTGCCTTTAAGTAAGC